AAGTCACACAAATAAAAAGTGTCATACTAAATATATAATAATATATATTTTTATAAAAGTTATTTAAATTTTCAACTACTTTTTCTCAATAATTTCAGATTTGAAGGAAAAAATTAGCAAGCACCCGTGTAATACACGGGCGTTGTACTAGTTATATACGGTTAAAGAAAAATTATAACGTATTTTAATTAAATTTATTTATATTAATAGATAGTCATACACTTAATTTAATATATTTACATTGTTATTTGATTTTAGATAATTTTAGTATTTATTATAGTTGGTTTTATATATTATTTATATTATACTAATATATTAATTTAATATTTATTAAAACCTCGGTAAAATAGACAGTAAAAACGGTTGAACTGGTTGAACTGTGTACCGTTGGCTCGTCCGATATTGTATTTAAAACATGGGTTGTAATCAAAGTTGTCAACCAAGTGAACTAAATAGCATTACTCTAGTTTTACTAATAATCAAATTACAAAATTTGATACAATTATCTGACTTATAATATTATTAATATAGGGTTGGGTTCACGTGAGAATGGTTTTCATGAAAGAAAAGAGATTAAATCGTAGTCATTAGAACGAATGATCTAATGGCTAAAAAAAATCAAAATTATACATCTAATAAGAGCAATGTTGTAATTGCAAAAACAAAAAAATAGTGGGACCACGCACATCACCATATCTCTCTCCACCACCTATATCTCTTATTAATTTTATGTCTCATACACACCTCACACACACTTTTTAGGTACAATGAGAGGAGGCCAGAGGCCTAGAACGCTCACTTGGCTAGAACACGATGGGGGTACGACACTCCAATAGTATCGTGATCAAGCCAACTACTCAAACCTAACGGCGGAGAGGACAACATATGCAGGCCAATCGGGAAGGAAGCCGCCATGCTTGCTAAGTGGTCAGCCGCAAAGTTTGCTTCTCTATATATATGTTTGAGCCGCACAGTCCACTCTCGTTGCATCAGGCTACGGATAGCTAGGGGTGAGCATCGGTGCGGTTCGGTGAAAAACTGCACCAAACCGAAAAAACCGAAAATATACATTTTTTCACACTGAACCGCACCGAACTTGGAGGAAAAACCGAACCAAAACCGCACCGAAATTTTCGGTTCATTCGGTGTGATTTCGGTTAACCAAGTAATTGAAAGAACCCAAAATAAATCAATTTGAAGACAAATTAGGGTTCTTGGTAGGAAAAGGTCGGGGGGCGAATTGGAGAATAAAAGAAAAAAGACAGAGAGATATTCAGAGCTTACCTAAATTGATGTCGTTGACGGAGCGAGTGCCTGAGGTTAAGAGCCTGCGTGAGTTTTTTTTAAACATGTGACTGCGAAAGAGAATTTCTCAAGATAAGGAAATTAGAATTTTAGTTTGTGTTAATTGTAAATTATTTTTTTAATTGTTAATTATACTATTATTACTTTATAAATAGCCAAACGGGCCAAGCCCCAAAGGCCCAAAGTGCAAAGCAAAAGCCTGTGTACCCTACGCTAAAGCCCTACAATACAGTACAAATAAATTGTATATTAATATATTCGGTGCGGTTCGGTCAAAATCGCACCGTTCGGACACAAAACCGAACTGCACCGAACTACTTGCGGTTTTTCAAATTCTTAACCGCATCGCAAACCGAACTTCAAAAAAACCGAACCGAACTGCACCGAACTCACCCCTACGGATAGCCTTGACCAACACGTCATGGGTTCCGAAAGAAACTTCAGGGCTCGACACCATTTTTGTCACGCACTGGCTATCAACCTCCACAATCACTTGACGAAAACCCCTTTCCCAAGCCATTTGTAAGCGCTCATAAAGACCCCAAAGTTCGGCTCCCGTAATGGTACAAAAGCTAATATTCAAAAGGAAGCCCTCGATCCACCCGCCTAGCTCATTTTGTATTGCACCACCTGCACAACCCAAGCCCGTGAGATTGTCGAAAGCACCATTTGTGTTTAATTTGATCCACCCCGAATCTGGCGGTGTCCAATGTATCCAACGGGTAACATGCGAGACTGCCCCCACCTTCGAATAAGCGGCCCCGGCTCGGTCATAGTTGCCGGCAAGAGTAAGAGCCTCCCCTCGCCTCGCTTCACTACTGCACGTATGTTGATTAAATACCCGCTCATTCCGCCACTTCCATGCCCGCTAAAGTACAATAGTGAAAAGGCTTGCCCACATGTTTACGCCCTTATGCAACAGTGACATAACGCAGCCATTGGGAGAAAGATAGGTGAAAGAAACGGTCCTCTTGGCCGACCGGAAGCAAGCTGACCCAAACGGGCTTAACATATGGACAATCCCTCAGTACATGAATAATCGTTTCACGTTCCCCACAGTAATCACAAGCCTCCATCGCCGCTATATGCTATCGGACACGCTCCACATTAGTGAGTAGTCGGCCCCGGGCCGCGAGCCAAAGAAAAGTGCGAGCCCGCTGAGGAACATATGAACTCCAGATAAGCTTCCACAAAGGCCTGAACTGAACAGAAGCCGGACAAGCTAGGCTCCTATAAGCTGGCTTTGTAGAGAAATTACCGTCCTCCGAGGGGCCCCATATGATACGATCTGTCCCAGCCAACCCGGTCGGTGGATGAGTCCATGCTATACGTAAAATGACAGAGGAAGGGAGAAGTCCATGAAACCGATCCCATTGCCATCTTCCATGCACGTCCACAA